CCCCCCCCCGTGTCCGTGCCACAGGCAGCGGAGGAGTCGAAGGAGGAGATCTTGAAGATGATCGAGGGGTCGCACATGGTTTTCATAGCGGCGGGGATGGGAGGAGGCACGGGGACCGGGGCTGCGCCGGTTATCGCCGAGGCTTGCATGGAGGCCGGCATCCTTACCGTTGCCGTCGTCACCAAGGTACGTATTCCACCGCAGAGTTGGAGCCCCGCAAAAAAGAAAAAACTCGGTTGATGGGGTAGGGGGGCAGGATCCATGTTGGTGTCATTTGAGGAGTTTCGACCGCGCCAACTCGCCGACCCGATGAACACAACACACACACTACAGTATGCTCTTCAATCGAGATTCACGTGCCATGTACGGCAAGTGCCCGCTTCTCGCTTGTAACTACAGCTGTATCCGTGTTCGTCCGCTCAACAACTTCGACGTCACGCGCCGTGTCACACGCAGCCGTTCCACTTCGAGGGTAGCCTCCGGATGCGCCTCGCCGAGGAGGGCCTGCGTTTCCTCGCCTCTACGGTGGACACCCTGATCGTCATCCCCAACCAGAACCTGTTTCAGATGGTGGACAAGCAGACGTCGTTCCTGGATTCCTTCAGGTCCGTTGGTTATCGTTGGGGCTGTGGTTGTTGTTGTTGTTGTTGTTGCTGTGGCTGCTGCTTCTGCTGTTGTGTTTTGGTTTTGACATTAGTAGCCTACCGCCCGGGCGCAGTCCGTGGCGACAAAGTTGTGCGCGTGTGTTCACCTCGGAGAATAGCAACGACAGTGTGGCATGGTGCGCTTTGTTCAGATACGCGTGTCTTTTCACGATTTGGCTCTGAGAGAGCTTCTTGACATTTCCCAGAATGTCTTTTCATCGACCGGCCGGTCCGGGCTATTGAAAGAAGTACACGCTTGCGCTCGGCACTACCGTTGCCTTCCCAGGGACAAGCAAGGACTCGTTCCATGAGCATTTCCCCAATCTTTGTAGCAGGACTCGTTAACTCGCGACGCGATCCTCGCCTGGAGCGTGTTTGCTCTAGGTGCCTTGACGCTCTGTCTCTTGTGGGTGCTTGGCAGGCTCGCCGACGACGTGCTTCTGGCGGGAGTCCGAAGCGTGACGGACCTCATGGTTAACCCGGGGCTGATCAACCTCGACTTCGCGGACGTTCAGGTGATCGATCGTGAAGACACGAAACGACCAGATACATCACGTATCGCCCACACAATAATTTGTTGTCGTTGGGGTTGGCTCTAGCCGGTGGGGAAGTAACGACGGCCTGCCTGCCTGCTGTGTTCGTGTTTCATGCGTGTGAGAGTGAGTGAACGAAGTCAGAGTCTTGGTCGGATTCGGTGTTCCGACAAGGTAATTTCAGCAGAAAGTCTATTTGTACATAGCGCAGAGGGGTGGTGCGGATTGAAGCGTTGGTGCACAACGACGACCGCTGCTCGCTTTTTTCGTGGTCGGCCTCGCGGGCTTTGCCTGCCAGAGCAAACACTAACAGTACTTGTCCGCATGGCAAATCGACAGGGTGGGTTTCGAGTATATTGGGTTTGTCGCGTCTGCGAGGACTCTCGTTTGACGTTGGTCAACGTCTCTCGTGAAATATTTTTGTAGACAACAGCGGTCCCGAGTGTGCGTTATTCATTTTTTTTTTTTTTTTTTTTTTTTTTTTTTT